TCCAGACCCTTTAGGGACGATGCCTGTTCCCCGCTCCCACATCCCGTGAGCCCCCACTTCTGGGAACCCCTCCCTTCTACCCTCCAAGTCAAAGCCATGACCGTGCAGGAAGCAGAGTTCCGAGAGATAACTGTCTTTTGAAAAGAAAAAGAAAAAGAAAAAAAAAACCCCTCAGGATTTTGAACAGAAAGAGCAAAGAAGGCTTTGGGGAGTCATAACCTAGCGCTAACCCTGAGCTCCGGCACGACATTTTTTATCAGCACACGAGACAGGCAGCAGGTCTGGCCAGGAGGAAGCACGCCGCCGCTTTCTAGGGGCACGCACATCTTTTCAAATTCAGCGAAGCCTCATGCTTATCAAAATTCAAGAAGTAACAATAAACGTTATCTGAATATGTGCTTCCACCAGGCATTTCGCTACCCCTCACTTCACTGCCGTACTCCGGCGTACAGCACCCCGCCACAGGAAGTGCTTAACACGTCATCCCACGTTAGCCGGCACTTGGAAGTCAAAGGGAGGGCCAAGTGGTCCAGCTGAGCGGCCCAGAGGCACGGCCTCCCCCCCCCCCCCGCCGTGAGACGGTGCACTCGCAGGCCGGCCCCGGCGCTCCAGTGCAGCTTCCTCGGGCTCTCAACGGCTCTGCGGACTGTGGTCCACCATCCAATGGAGACTTTGCAAGGACGTGTTCAAGGTCACCCAAGTGGCAGCGTGCGCTGAAACTCCTGCTCCTGGTGACGACCAAGCCCCTTGGCCTCTTCAGCTGAGAGAATGTGATCACCTGGGTAAGTCGGGTCTTTGAACCCCCAAGGCTCAACACTGCTCGCCCCGTGCACTCTGACCTCAGTCACGGTTGAAATGGGAAACTCGGAACATAACGCTGTAGATGGGAAACGCGAAGGCCCTCTCACACCCGTCTCTGCAGGGCTCCTTAAGACCCACCATGAGGTTAGATAAGCAACGAGGGAACACACACAGCACCTCCCTGCTGTAGGCAGAGGGCCCGAGTGTGCCCAGGGCATAGCTGCCCCTCTGAACCCCCTTTCTGCAGGCGACCACCCTCTGCTGGCTGGGGCGGGGGTTGGGTCACTTTGTGAAATGGCCCTTTCCTCCCACCGGCAGCCCCAGCTCGAAGGTTCAGCACCGCCCCCACCCCCCAGCCCTTTGGTGCGGGCTGAAGCTAGGGAAACCCAGACGACCACAAACTGTGGAAAGAACGATGCACCCTATACCAGGGGAGGGATGCAAGTGCAGGGACTTTGGGAAAACCTTCTACTGGCCGGTGATGATTCTAGTTTCACGGCTGTTAATTGAGGAAGGGTGAAGATCACAGAACATGGACCTTCATACAAGTACCGCAAGAAGAAAACCTTTTTACTTAAGTGTACTTTTTAACTTAACTGTGTTTTTTTGTTGTTTAAAACTTCAAAAGGAGCCCTGGCTGGCGCAGCTCAGTGGATTGAGCGCGGGCTGCGAATGTGAACCAAAGTGTTGCAGGTTCGATTCCCAGTCAGGGCACATGCCTGGGTGGCAGGCCACGGCCCCCAGCAACCGCACACTGATGTTTCTCTCGCTCTCTTTCTCCCTCCCTTCCCTCTCTAAAAATAAACAAATAAAATCTTTTAAAAAAAGTTAAGTAATCTTAAAAAAAAAAAAACAAACAGACTTCAAAAGGAGATTGGCAACTTCAAGATTAAACAGGCTGGGATCAGAGATCTTAAAACCAGGCATCAGCCCTGCTGAACAACAGGTGCAAACTGAAACTCTTTCAAAGGTAATTCAACATTGATAAAGTAGGAACTGTCAATTATTTAGGAATAAATTAGGTTTAAAAAGCACCAATTAAAATGTCTAAAAAATACAAGGATCAAGAAAATTTTACTACTGTTCAGGAATCCTTTTTCCAAATGAATTTCGGGAAACCTGTCTCAGAAATCTCAGCTCGGGTAGATTTTAGGCACCTGTGGTGCATCCGACCACGCGAAGCCAGAAATGCTGGACAGACTTCAGTGCACTCAGGTGACAGCAAATAACTCCTCCCCTCCGTGTGGGGCAGCCAGTGGCTCTACTCTGTAAACAAGAAATCAGAACACTAGAGAACGGGAATCATTAAAGATCAGGGAAGTCTTCTTTATAACAGAACTGGGCGGTCCTGTCTAGCTGCCTGCCTGCTTCACTATCTGGGACCTGATTTAGGGGGACATTTTAAAATTTAAAACCTGGGAATTTTTTTTTTAACTCCTTACCCAAGGACATACCCATTGATTTTAGAGAGAGGAAGGAGGGAGAGAAACATTGGTTGCCTACCAAATCTGCAACCCAGGCATGTGCTGCGACCGGGAGTTGAACCTGCGACCCTTTGGCTCATGGGAGGAGGCTCCAAACAACTGAGCCGCACTGGCCAGTGCTGGGAAGGGAGACTCCTAAGCTGATTACTCCAATTGTAACTCTGTATTCTGACTCTAATTTTTAAATACAATTCGCTAGGTTTGTATCAGGTTGCTTCCATTTGAGATTTCTAGGGGAAAGTCTCTGAACTTCCTGAACGCGGTGTTTGAAAGATACTGTTTTGAAGGTAGTCCCACGTGTTGGTGGGAAGAAGATCTGATCTCCTCCAGTTACACTGAAATGGCATCAAGCTGTAGAACTGACAGCAAATGTACCAACAGGTGCTACTACCCCCTTTCCACCACACATGTGAGATTACTTCTACTTTTTCTCTCATTCTCCAACTAAATGGTGTTTTAACTTCTGGTTACTTTCTGATTTCTCTCTCTCACACACACACACCCCAGTAAAAAGATCAAGTCCACCTTTAGAGCTTCTCTTATGGCATCAAGAGATGAAACCTGCAAAGCACACCTTTTACAGAGCTTTTCTGACGAAGTTGGCACTTTGCTAGAGGACATGTTTACAGGGATTTTACTTACAGCCATACATATGGGGAGTGCCTTCACTCAATGGGACTAGGAAAAAAATTCTTTAAAGAAATAATTCTTTGGCTCTCACCCATCAATCAGTCCAGTAACAATGACAAGTCCTCAGATGCCAGAAGCTTCAAGAGACACATGTTTACCTAGGACTCTGGCTAAGCCCATTATCATAGATCTTTTTGATAATTTGCAGCCAAGATTCAGTAAGCCTGGAGAACAGGTCGGCGGCTGGTCCATCACTGATGACCCAGACTAACTATAAAGAAGTTACAAGAAAGGCTGGCTGGCTTCAGAAAAGCTGGTTTCCTTTACTGCTCTGCTCCTAAGAACCGAAGAAAGCTTACAGAATAACTAGCCAAGTACAGGGTCCAGCACAAATAATGCCCCTTTTGTATTATAAATTTTTTATTACAAAAATCATAAGCGTGTAATTCTGCAAAAGTCATAAGCATGTAATGTAACAATATCACACCCAAGCACACCATATACTATTTTCGGTGACATGTTCAAACTAAAACTATACATTATCACACCCATATTATTACCCTGCCACCCACACTCAAGCAGGCCTTACTTCTGTCAGACCCCGTAACTTCACCGAAAGGGAAAGAAACCGAAGGCCAAAGTGATTTACCCAAAACCTTACTACTGATTAGTTATGGAAACCTCCAGGTGCTCTATAGCAGCCTTAACATGAATCCCAATTCTCCAAGATAATTCCTTAGACATTTTCACAGTAAACGGTTGCTAATGCAGGTGAGAGGTTTGTACATGAGGCGCCGAAGAACCCGGCACCAGGAGCAGCAGCCCCACCGTCCCAGGGCAGGTAAGCCAGGGTGACAGCAGAGAGGTCAAGGGCTGGGGCTCTCCATTGAGGCTGCCCAGGCTGAATTTAGGTTCTTGCACTTCCTAGTGGTTGCCTCCGTTTTCTCAGCCTTGGATCAAGAACTATCCCAACACCTACCTTAAGGGCTGACCTGACAGCTGAATGAGATAATGTAACGGTGAATACCAAGTGTTCACTCAGCACGGCACCAAGCGGGCACTCAAAGAAACCACTGAAAACGAAACCCCCAAACGTTAGCTATTAAGTATCACGCAGATCAGCTACGACTGACAACGCAGACTTGACCAGCTTGGCCTAGGAGAGCCAAACCTGGATAGTTCTGGTCACTGGAAAACCTGGGCTGGAATTAGGGGTTCCCGGGCAGGCCTGGGAAGAACGGACCCAGCAGCTTCGAGATAAATATTCCACTTTCTGACCTGACCTTGGAAGCCTTCCTGTCCTTCACAGTGATCCCGACTGGGCAAGTCAACAAGGAAACGAACCGGGCCCCTGCTAAGCGCCAGACACAGTGTGAGACTCTCTCTTACTGTGTTTTATTCGGAGACAGAACCGGGTATAAGCGCTAGTGTGGACACAGACGCGCACGCAGAGGCCGTGCTTGGGGTGCCACTTTGCTTCCGGCTTTGGAGCTTCGTCCTTATCTGCAGCCTCAGAGTTGGCGCTTAAGTCCGGGAAGCTCTTCCTTCCACTTCCTTCCGCCCGGGGGAAAGAAGGGCACAAGACAAACGCCTTTGAGCCTGGAGTCACTTCGGGGGCCGGACAGACCCCTGGAGAGGTCGCCTGATGGCTTTGACCTTGATACCCGATACTCAGTTTCCCATCCTGCCAGTCGGGGACGTAGACACATCCCCTCGGCCAGGGCAGGTGTGTGACCCGAGCGTGGCACCAGGTCCTGGGGGCCTGGGAACGCCACTGCCGTCTCCACCAGGGGAACCCTGTGCCCTCCTGTGGGTGCGAGGACTCCGGCCTCGCCTGGACCCAGCGCATGCGGCGCAGTGGTCGCCAAGAGCAGGGGCACAGACCACCTGGGACACCCCCAGCACGAGGGTCTGGGCGCTCGGGGCCGCCCGCGGGGCCGCGGCGGTGCACGTCTGGCGGGGTCACGCGGCCTCCCCACCTTCCCCGGCCACCCGCGGCGGGAACGGGGCAGTCGCCGCCAGTCCGGCCCTCCCCAACGACCGCGCCCGGCCTCGGCCCCGACGGCATTGCGCCGCAGGCCTCACCTCCCTGCGCACGTTCAGCAACGAGTAATAGTCTTCATTGTCCAGCTCCTCTTCGCTCAAGGCCGTCGCCATCTTCGCAACCTTTCACCCCGCCAAACCGGCAAGGCGGTGCTCAAGAGGGACCGCGGCCGGCGCGCGCAGGGCGTGGGCCGGCCCGGCGGCGCCACAGCGGCCCCTGGTGGCCGGGAGTCTCGCCGCCGCCGCCGCCGTCCGAGCCCCGTACCGGTGCGCCTGCGCCCGGCTCCCCCGCGCGGCCGAGGGTAGCATGGGGGCCGGGCCCCCACCGCGTGCTGCCCGCGCGCTCCAGCCCGGCGGGCAGCGCTAGGGACGTGTCTGGGCAGGAAGGGCGGCTTGGTGGCCGCGACCCCCTGGGTGCCGCAGAGAAAGGCCCCTGCAACAACTAACTCCCTGTCTACCCTACGACCCCCCGTGTGGGGCGTACCCGGTTTCCTGCTAGCGCCACCTGGGCCGACGTGCGAGCCCACCGCGGCCAGAGGCTCCTCTAGGCTCCACTTGCACAGGACACCTCCAGAATGGGGTCTGTCCTGCTGCCATCGTTCTTCGCCATTTGTCTTGACCGCCCAGAACCTTGATGGGAGGGTGGGCCTCCGCGTTTCCTTTTTTTATTATTGCTCTATATTTAGGAGCACCAGGCCGTTTTCCTGCTGCTTAAATGAGGAGGCAATACCCATTTGGTTCCTAATCTAATTGTCTCTGGCAGGCACGTTTACCTGCAACCCCCGTCCCAGAGCCGTTCTCTTGTCAATTTCTACCTTATAATTTAGCGGTGGAGCCTAATTGATTTCAACCTGGTGCCTGCTGTTTGGTGCATTATTAAAGATGTCTCGGTTACAATCACCTAAATAATTGAAATGTCTTCGAAATGATGCAGTTATCAAGAGAGGGTGGACCCTGGGGCTCCCCTGCTCTCGCCACCTGTTTGGTTCATGCTGACCTGGACCAATGCTCCGTTATTTCTCCAGAACGTTTGCTGTTCCTTAACCAGCCACGAGTTCAGAACCATCCCTGTTGCCCTTCCTAAACAGGCCTCCTGGGAAGCCTCCAACACCTGCCCGTGGGTTTGAGAGGTTGATTTCTTTCTCTTCTAATTTTTGGCCAGATGTGTGCCATCTGGGCCTCTGTGTCCTCCCTTCCCGGTCGCCTGGTCTCTTTGGCTCTTCTGGCCCGAGGCGCGTAGGTGAGCTGAGACGGCGTGTTCGGGAGCGTTGAGTCAGCGTGGAGCAGGCTGTCAGTCCGGGCTGTAAATTAAGAGCTATTTCTTTAGCTGTGTGAGGCTTCCCCACAATGGCTTTCTCAAATATTCATGTTCCATCAGCTATTCCAGCAATTTTGTTTAACGGTCTTCTCTCTCTCTCTCTCTCTCTCTCTCCTTTGAAGAGCAGTGATTAGGGCTCGGCTGCATGATGGCATTTGCTGGTCTTTAGGAATTTCTTACAGAGAGGCTGAGGGGGAGAAAAACGACAATGTTGAGACATTCCTTTTTTCCTTAGGTTTGTAGACAGTAATTGGGCCATAATGCTCAGTTGGGTGGAGGAGTTCTTTGCCATCCTTCTTCTGCTTTGGAAACTGCCTCTAGGAATTCCATAAACGGAACAGAACATATGTTTCCGAACGCCCAGGTCTGGGTTTCTCTGGTGGAGAAGGGCCTGGTTGTCATCACCACTCCGACGGAGTAAACAGTGACTCAGGGGTGCTGTGCATCTGTCCTCCCTTGGGCCCACGACATTTCGGTCTGTGGTTACTGGGAGAGTGGCTGTGACAAATGGAAAACAAACTTAGACACACCACACGCCTGAGAAGACAGTTACTTCAGGGGTTGGCTCTTTGCATTTCTTTCCTCCCAAATTTTAACCTAGGGTGGGAAAGATGAAAATCAGGAGCGGCACGAATAGACAGGTAAACGCTTGCATGCGACAGACCACCCATACATACCAGAGCATCTGATGACACTCCCCGCGGTACCTCACCGCCTCACCTTCTTGTTTTCTTCCTATCCGATGTAGCCAGAAAACAATCGGAAACTCAGCTGTAAAGTAAAGCCTCATATACTTATGTAATGTAGTTCTATAACTATATATACACAGGTATGTATCTTTTATATAGGTACATATAACTCATCAATTCTCTTATCTTAGTAGTAACTGTGAGGGCATCTACCTCCACCGTCATCCACGTTCAGAGTGACCCCAGGGTCACTCTCTCCTCTCCTCTCCTCACTGTCACTGGCCCTCCCAGGATAGCCACTCCGGAAGTTTGCTCTGTTTCGGGGCTGGGGCCCTTCCTCCAAAATGTGGAACCTGGGTTGCCAGATGCCCGGTTACATTCGAATTTCAAATAAACGATGAATGATCATTAGTATAAGGGTCCTAATATTGCACAGGGCATATACATATACTAAAATTCATTGTTTATCTGAAATTCAAATTTCACTGGGCATCCTGTGTTTTTATTTGCTGCATCTGGCGGCTCCACCTGGAGCCCCCTGCGCCCTTCCCCTCTCCGTGAGGGCCGCTCCTGAGAGGGAGGGGAGCCCGCTGCGGCCGGCCGGCCGCGGTCCCCGCGCCTGCCCTGTATAACTCAGAAGGAGAGCTCACCTGGGTTCTCCTTCGTGCGCTCTCGGTCTCGGAGCCCAGAAGGGGGTTTCGTGCTTGCTGGTCGTTCACAGCCTGGTCTCCCTGCCCCTCAGCAGCCCTGACAACCCCGTGAAGAGGAGTTAGGAAAAAACAACTCACAGCTGAAGCAAAGAGAATGTGCAGGCACTCAAGTATTAGATTGTCTTGATGTCCTTTCCTCTCTCAGCCTTTCAGTGACTCGTCTCGGACGTCGATAGCCAAGACGGTGACTGCGGAAGGTTCCAGTCACCCAGAAGGGCCACAGCGGCTCCTGCTGAGCTAGCTGCCCAGAGAGGCTGGAGAGCTCCCCCCAGAGGCAGCCTTGGGGGGCACGGGAGACGGGGCAGCCAGCGCAGGGATAGACTAGTGGCCTCTGGCCTCCCCCGTTTTACACCCCCCCACTCCCGTGAAGCACGAACCCCCAAATCTCCCATTCAGAGCTCGTGCCTTTGGGACTCTGCGTTCAATCTGTAATGCCATAATGCCGTCCCCTCCTGGTGCCAGAGGTACTGGTTCTCCCTGCTGTGTTTGACTTCAGGTCCTCGGTTTTTACGGTTTTTACGTGTTAATCCATCTTAATCCGTCAGCTCCCAGCTGGGGTCCCACTCCTGTCTGCTTTCTCAGCCACTCCGTGAGAGCGTAATCCTTTGACCTTTGGCTCTGTCCATTCCCGGTTTGATGCGTGTCCCTTACCTGCCTTTCGGCACCCTCCCAGGCGGTCAGAGTGGTCAGGGGAAGGCTTGGAACATTCCAAGTTGATGCTACCTGACTTCAACTGGTGCCCAGTGCGACCTGGCAGTCCTCTTATAGTCGCCTCTTACACACACCCTGCAAGACACCCCCCCCCCCCCCCCCGGCTTCAGGTTGGAGAACAATGCCCGGGAATGGGCGCTGGCATTTCAGCAATTCACAGGGGGGCGATGGATTCGTCCGCTCTCGCGGAACTCGCACTCCGCCGAGGAGGGAGGGCACACACGATAAGCCAGTTTGTTAATAAACAAGACACTTGCAGGTGCTCCCCGCTGCAACTAAAGCACAACCCAGGGGTGTGAGGGCGGAACGTCTCGGGTGCGGGGAGCTCCCCTTGAGCTGGCGGGTTACGGAAGATCTGGCTGAGGAGGTAATTTTGAACTGAACGAATGACTGAAAGGACACAGCTTTGCACGACCTGGAGGGGGGAGCTTCTTGTGCAAAGCCTTGGTGACAGGGACAAGTCTGGGGTCCTCCAAGAACGGGGAGGAGGCCAGTGGGCCTGAGGGTGACGTGGTGGGGAGAGCCGCAGGAAGAGGTGTTGGAACCCTCAGCGGGGTGGTCTCCTGCGGGGCCTGAAAGGCAGGGGTCAGGCACGGGGAGCCACTGAGGGATTCTCAGCAGGAAGGGACGCAGTTTGGTTGTCTTTTCCCCCAAAGCGTCGCTCCAAGGAGACTGGGTTAGAGGGAGCAAGAATGAAAGCTCCCTCTCGGCCCTACACCATGGGAGGGTTCTGCCGTGGGCCAGGGAAGAGGGGACGGTGCCCGGGACTTGGGCTGAGCCATGGGGATGGGAAGACGTGGAATGCAGGTTGGGATGGAGTCAGCAGAAACTGCCGCCAGATCGGGTCTGGGCCGCGGGGGCAGGAGGACCGGCAGTTACTCCGGCGCTGGGGCTCGGACCGCTAGGAGGTAAGGCCACTTGTGCAGCCGAGCAAGGCGAGGAAGAGGCAGGCTTGGGAGGTGGGTGACCCCGAATTCTGCTCTGGGGAAGCAGAGTGAGGTCCTCCTTCGACATCCAGGGGGACATGGCGCCTGCTGCTTCTGCTTCCCTTGCCACTCACGCACCTCTTGCGGGCAGGTGCTCACCCCCATCATTTCCTTAACATTCCCTTCGTTTCCAGTGACTCCATAAACCCCGAATCCGACGGCGTTTGCTTAGCTGCTGGCTGCCCGGACTCTCGGCACTACTTCAACGTCATCTACCTTGTTCCCTGCGACCTCTCTGTCCTTGACCGCTTCTCTTCCTCTCCCTCTTCGCCCCTGTGTGTCTCTGGGTGGGTTCCCACCATTCTTCCTCCTGCGGGCATCCGGGACCTTTCGTCATCTGCATTCATGCATCTTTCAGGCTCACAGCCCTTGACTTTCTGGAAAGGGTCTTTTGGTCTCCCCGGGAAGACAAATTATTCTTCTTGAAACATCCCTTGAACGTCTCTGTTCTTCACTCTTTGCTGCACCTCTGAGCTTCCGTGGAGGGCCCTGACCGTCAGCCTGAAAAACGCCCCGTGGCATTTCTCCCAGCGTGAGCCTGCTGTTGAAGAACTCTCGGCTTTTGTTTATCTGAGAATGTCTCTGTCTGCCTTCGTTGATATTAAAGAGTATTTTCTCAGGGTAGAGAAATTTCGTTCGCTAGTTATTTTGTGTTTCCCAGCACTTGGGCGATAGCATTCCACTTCCTGGAGACTTCTGCCATTGCTGCCGGGGAGTGATTCTCTTGTCCTTTTTGGGGGACCCCAGTCGCACACC